AATAAAAACCTGATAGTTTCTTAAAATCGAAATGAACACTTATTATTAATGTAGGATGTTATCGTTTTGCCTAATGAAGTATATTGGATTTCAATGAGTTCAAGCAGAATACCAATTTGCGAGTATATTGGTAAAACAAACAATAAAATTTTATTTAAGTTTTCTTATAAGCAGAAAAAATATTAATAATTATTAAAGCTATCCGTAATATGAACTACTTATATTGAATCATAGGAAATTGAAATTTGGAACTAAAGGAATTTTTTGATCTTAATTAAATTAATCCATAATACAATGTAATATTAGAATTGAGATCTTTTCTGGTCTGTTCTGGTTTTCACATTGTTATAATATAAATAATTATCTTTGTTATAGCAAAACTGTTTATTTAAATTGTAATGAGTTTCAATGTTCCTTAATTAATTCAAAAATTCTTTAACAGAATAGAATATTTTAACATATTCGTTCATAGCACAAGTTCTCATAAACAAGTACAACAAAAAAAAAATTTTTGCTGATAAAAATTTGAAAGAAATCCACACAAGCAAAAGCGAGACAAAAAATAACTCCGAATATGCTCGACAAATTTCTTATTTACACATATAAAGTTAAAAAAAAAATGTGTAAACTTTTGTCATCAAGTCTATGGTACACCAGAGTTTAACACTAAAATTTCTTCTTTTTCGACAACTTTTCCAAAATATTTTCTAAACCACATTAAGGTCTCAAGGTCTTTTAAAGGACTTGGAGTTCGTATAGAGTTGTCTTCAAATAGAAAATAGAAAAGCAAAAGACACAAAAATTTTCGAGACGTTTTAAACAGCATATCGCATGATCAATTCACTATAAATTACTTAATGTCCTCCTCGGAGTCTCGGAAGATATATATGTTTCAATTGGTTAACCTGTCTCATTTGCAATACCGGTCTACATACAAGGCTGGTTTGAAAACAAATGCTTATTTTAGAGAAGAGACCAGTTCAATACATATGGACAGAAACACGGAAATGGTTAGATCAATTAAGATTCTGCTTTTTGGTGTTACATAACACATGTTGTGAAAATTTGAATATAAATCCCACATGCAATATAATGCAAAAAAAATGTATTAACCACCATGCAAAATAACCAGAAACATTAAAGGATTTGAACAGAGACATTAAAGGATTTGTTATTACTGATAAAGTAAACACTGAAAGCAATTCAAGTTCATTACGGAACTGAAAAAATTCATTAAAAAAACTACTCCAGAAATTTCAAATTCTTTTTAGCACTTTTCCAAAAAGTTTTTGAAAAAAAGTGCTTATTAGTTTTACTCTGTCCGTCCGTCCGTAAGTGGACATGTTTACAAAACTTCTACACCCTTGAAGATAGAAAGCTAAAATTTAACATGTACATAGATCTTTACTAGAAACTTATTTCCGTAGAAGAAAATTTTTACCTATCTCCGCCTTTCTAGAAGTTGCAGCCCCCCAAAAACCTAAAAATGCCATTTTTTAACTATTTATTGCAGTGAAACCATAAGCATTTTTCAAATTTTGTTTTCATTAATCCATAAATCGTTCATCCTAAATACATGCAATCCTAGAAATAATTTCGTATATGAAGCAAAATAATTTTAATAGTGTGGTAGTTATGCATAGCAATATTTTCACTTGTTAAAGGGAAAAGTGCTTCAATACAAACCAATGGTTTGACCCACCTTTATTTAAATTAAATTTACTTTTGCGAATTTGTAATTTATGAACGATCATCGTGTGATCTTACAAGAGTTTTTTAATTTTGATTTATTTATCTTTACAATAGCGTGATATATTTTATAAAAATTTCTTAAGTTGATCATTCACTCTTTTCAGGAAACATTATTAAGTGATTTAGAAAAGAGTTTAATCTTTATTTATTAACATCCAACCACAGGAAATTATTTTCTATTGCCTACTATAAATTTGGCTTGCGCATAATGTATGAATAGAAAAATCATCACAATATGACATAAATGGAACATGCAGTTGCAAAGAACTTCTTCAGATTAATTGAAGTATTACTTAAGTCATTTTTTGAAAACAGATGAATGAACAAAAATTCTATTCAACTTTTATTTATTTAATTGATTAACAAAAGAGTGTGAAATCTAAGAATGAAATTTATAAAAAAAAAAGTTTTTGAAATTTCTAATAAATTCAACTTTAATATTATTCGTAATGGATTCCATTATTTACACTGAATTATTGTTATTTAGTCTCATGATGCTTGGAAATTAACTTACCATAACTGTATTGAGTTAGTTATTTAGAAAAAATTTAAATTTTTTTTTTAAATGTTACGATTTATTAGTGTTAGTCTCTCCCTGTAATCATGTAAAAAAACTTTTGATAATATTGCAGAATTATTTCCCTTAATTCTCTCACTCAATATAAGCACTATTTGCCTCAATGTTGTTTACAATAATACTCATAAGTTACTATTTAAGCTCATATAACACATAATTACACATATAAAATGATTGGTTTAAAGTAGATTCATTGGCTCATCGATTTTCTCTACTTTAAACAGCAGCAAACATTTACTTATTTGTATATGGAATAAATATGTACAAATAATTTGAAATTCTTACTCATTTCTTTTCCCAGAATCGTTTACCAAAACTTGCGAGATGATTTTATTAAAACGTGATTATTTATTTATTTAATTTCGTTTTTCTTCAGTAACGAGGAATTTTTTATGTTAGTACATAATTTAGTAAATATTTTGTTAAAAATATGACATTCATGGTTAATTATCACTCAACAAATTCCATTGCAAAATTTGTTTTTCATTTAGAGTATTGACGCCTTTTACTTTCGGAATACGTACATATTTGGTTTTAAATTCATGAAAAGTCAAACAAGAATTAGTTAAGTCTTTAGCAAAAATTATGCCATTTAAATGTAAAGGAAAAAGTCTTTCATTAAGTATGCAATATAAAGATAAATAAATTGCACCTAATGGGTGCATATTTGAATGATTATTTATGGTTGTTCAATTAAGAGTGTCGTAATATGCTACAAGGAACTTAATATTTCCATATCAAATTTCATAATTTTTGTGTAATCTTAACGAAGATGGTCTTTATGAAAGTTTTTTCGGAGGATAATTTGTGAGTCGCCCGTTTTTTGATGTGCATTGTTTCTTAGAAATTGGTTGCTTTCGCATTTCACATGAGCTATTAAATGTAAACATTTTCGCTAAATCTTTATACAAGTGAACTATTTCAATTGAAAAATCTCTCTCCAGTTAGATTAATACTGCTGGATTTATTAGTATTGTAAATATAATTTTGGAATTATACAGAGCGATCGGTTATTCATCATGGTATATTTTTATACCCGTACGAACGTATGTTCGAATGGTATACTAAATTTGCCTTACCGTTTGTAACTGTCTTAGATATAGAGTCAAATGTATGTTTTTGATAAGCATCGAATTCTGAGTCAATTTAGCTTTGTATGTCCGTCCGTCCGTATGTCCGGCCCAACGATAACTCAAAAACTAATTGAGCTAAGTTCACCAAATTTTCACAAATAATTTATTATAGTAAATGCCAGAACCCTATTTAAATTGGATTTGATCGGGGTACTGGTTCAAGTAGCTGCCATACAACTTCAAAATTTATTTGTCTATATCTTTGAAACTATGAAAGATGTGGTATTGAAATTTCGTACAAGTAAATATATTAGTAGAGCCAATGTGTTTAATAAAAGTCGTTGAAATTGCTTGGCTCCTTCTAGTAGCTGCCATACAACTTCAACAGTAGTTTGGCCATATCTAAGAAAATATTGAAAACACAGTACTGAAATTTTGCATATATTAATATGGTAATATGGCAACTTAAAGTGATAGTCTGTCCAGTAGTCAGCTATGGCATATTTATTCGCATACATAGGATAACAAATTCTTACGGGTATCACAGAGTTAACACGGTCAACTCTATTTTTTCTCGTTTAGGTTAAAATCAGTTTCTTTTAAATTATCGTAAAATTTAAAGCCTAAACAATAAACTCTATAACCAAAGTTCGACATTTTATCAATTAGCACGTTTTTATAATAAAAAAAAATTATTTAAAAAATTATATTTTTGATTCACAATTATATTTACAATTTACAATGCTGCCAGTTAATTTTTAATTACAATATGACTTACAAAATTGTGTACAATAAATCATTGTGTATCTTTTTTGGTTTTATGATCCTCAATACTATGAGCTTAATAATTTATTACATAAATTGTATAGTTGATACAAAACTCAATTACCCTAACAAAGAAGAATGAAATTGTTATGTATTACGACAATTTTATATAAATAAAGTAAAATTTAATGAAAATTGACCATTTTAAATTACATTTACATAAGCTTTGATAATTTACGCACTATTAATGCCAGACCACTCCATTTGGAAAAATTTTAGGTAACTGAGAGACTAGTTTTAACTTAGTTGAAATACTTAACGAGGACAAACCAATTAAAACGAAAATAGAATTTGAGTTTTCAAATCTTAAGGAAACATTCCTAAATTTAGTGTCACTCATTAGCCTAATGTTCGTTTCTTCAACGTTCAGAATCCTTTTATTTAAATAGTTTTTAATATGTCAAATTCGCTTTACAAGTAAATTATTCAGAAAATAATGGCGTGTTGTTTTAATAGTGAAAATTGAATAGTTTACATTTAAAACAAAAATTTTCTTTACTTGAGGAAACAGGATCTTGAGGGATTTCTTATAGAGTATTCTAAAGCAATTGGGTTTTCATTGCCTTTTACACAGTTGATTTTCATTTTTACAATATTACTTGCATTCTTCGCATTATAATGACATTTTTTTTTAATTTTTCAATTTATGATATTTAATGATAACTACAATATATTAAAATTATAATAGAATACTATTAATTTTAAATTAATTAAGAATAATTTAAAATCATTACAGGTGCATCGTATACAAAAATTTAAATATTCTCCAGCAATTGCCAAGTTTCTTATACATACACAAATACATATGTTAAGATAAAATAAATTAAATTATTAGAAAACGTTCGAGTTATTTCACATTATCAAATGACAACATAAAATATAATTTTATTTGAAAGCGAACCTATCATCAGATTTGATCAGATAGAACGTGAAATGAAAGCAAATTATTTAACAATATTACCATCATTGTTATTATTATTATTATTAGAATATAAATCATTTGTGAAAATTACCATGTTCTCATTATTAAATAATACTGCTAAATTAATATCATTAATATCATATATTATTAAAATTACGTATGCAAATTATTCTGAATTAAATGAAATCAATACTATAATTATAAAGATCGAATACAAATTAAGAAATAATTCAGAAAAAGTTAAAGTGAATCATTCATCGAAGAATTATACTTAAAACAATTTGGATCGAATAAAATTTTTAAAGCTTTAAATTAATATAAAAATAAAAATAATTGAATTTCTTATTTTATTAAAAAGTATAAATTTTGTTATAAAGCAACAAGAAATTCATCAGAGTTGGAGTAGTACCAAATACAATTTCTTCAATTATCACATATGGTCAGTACACGAGACATAATTATTTCCTAAAATTTCTTTAATGTGAAATTTTTTAAAGGCACTCAGTAACAAAACCTATTTAATTTTGTTATTTCAAATTGTAATTCCATTCAATTATCACAGTAACAAAAAGTAAAATTTTTCAACAAGCACCAAAACAAAAAAGGATAATATGTAAACAAATATGATGTGAAACTAAAATTAAAACATAAAACTAAAAAATACATTTAAAAAAATAAATTGAATGCCAATGTGAAATGAACAATAGCAAAAAAAAAGGATAACTTTGAATTTTAATCAACAAGGATTTTTTATTGCTGCGCTTTATTTGTTTGCGCCAATATTTACTTTAATATTTTTCTAAGAATAAAAATAACTACAATTCACAATCATCATAGCAAAACAACATCAGAAGCAAACTGACATCTAAATAAAACGAATAAATTGTACAAGGATAAAATGTCCTTGTAAACAATGTAGTTTATTTTTTTTTTTAATCAGAAGTCATTAAAATGATCATCATGCACACTAAGAATATATAAATCTCATTCAGATTATTGATTTATAGATTTTGAATTATAATTGAATAAACAGATTGGTGGAAGAATTGGACTTTCTTAAATTAAAATTTTGTAATATTACAAACAAATAAAAGCAACCAGAAAAATTCCCAGTTCTAAACAAAGAATCATCAAGATTTTAACAAAATTTCCAAGTTAAATACTTTAATTCTTACAATAAAATATAAAAGATACAAAATATAAAAATCATTTTTTTTCTATCATGTCATTTCACTATTTCTTACCAGATCCAGATTTGAATGAACAAATCAAATTAAATTATTCATCAACATTATCTTCTTCTTCCTCATCGTTTTCTTCTTCTCCTGCTTCTTCTTCTTTTCCTCTAACATCTTATATATCTTCACCATCTTCAATATTATCATCTTCAAGATATGAAAATGTTAAGGATCAAACAGATTTTCAACTTAATATACCATATACAGCATTTGAAATATTGGTTGGTGTTATCGCTGTTATTGGTAATTTAATGGTTATTATTGTATTTAAACGTGATAGAAAATTGAGACGTAGAACAAATTATTATATAGTATCATTAGCTGTTGCTGATTTTTTAGTTGGTCTATTGGGTGTACCATTTGCTATATTATCATCGATTGGTGAACCAAAGAATTTATACGCTTGTTTATTATCTTTATCTACATTAGTTGTATTATGTACAATATCAATATTTTGTTTAGTTGCTGTATCAGTTGATCGTTATTGGGCTATACTACATCCGATGGCATATTCAAGGAATGTTAGAACAAAAACTGCAATTGGTAAGTAGTTTACAAATTTATTTTGATCATTAATTTTCATAAATTATTGTACAATATTTTTTGTTTTTTGTGTAAATTGCAATTTTTATGAAATTATTGAAGAATTTTACATGTGGTTGTTTATAAAGAGATTTATCGAAGAAAAATTTTATTTCCAAAGCTATTTGCCACAAAGTACAATCTTCTAAGTACACATAATGTAGATATACCATTGTATTATAAATATATGTGTAAAAAAATCAGATTTTTAGAATAGCACATTTCCCTTGAAGAAGTGGAAATACTCTTTTAAAAGAAGAATCTTTTACTTAAATTATTCTCATTAGTCAAAGTTGAAATAATGGTTAATTACGACGGGTTTGTCATTGCTAAGTTTCCGCACGCTGTTTCCACTATAAGAAGCGCACTATAAGAACACAAACAAATCAAAACGTAAAATTAATTTTAAATAGATGTTATTCTTGTACTTCAAATATACATACTAGTGTGGTGTAGTTGTAGGAAATTATGGAGAAGAGCAGAAACTAATCTCATTTACATAATATTTTAGTAAGGTTAAGAGCTTATACCTTTCCTTACCTTTGAAATTATACCATAAGAAATCAATTACAATATCCACTAATTTTTATAAATAATTGTGTAGTTTTTATATGAAAACTTATGTCCTTTTGCTATACTAAACTCGTTTGTACGATATTTCAGCATAATATCCTGAATTTATAATCAAATAACGCTTCAAATTATACTAACTATGTTAAACGAATGTTAATAAACGAGTAGCTAATTTATAAACAATTTGTGAAAATTTAGAAATTTGACTTGAATTAGTTACTGAGCTGGGATATTATAGTTTAGCACGGATAGACAGACTTTTATATGTCCAAAACTTTCAACTATGAATTCTAACCCTAAATTATTTTAATTTACTCTAAACTAAAATTTTGGTATTCATCACCAGCATCTTATTAATTGAGAACTTATGAGAAATTACTTTTCGTTTTAATATCTATTAAAGCTCTATGTCTTTTGTTTCGACATCCTTAATAATTTAAAATCCTTAAAATAAATTTAAACTAATGCAAAATACGAGTATTTATTTCGAGTTAAAAAAAATTTTCTTTCATTAAAAAAACGTTAATCTTTTTAATTTTAAGGATTAAATTTTTTCCATTTCGGTTTTGTTTTCACAATCACACGGAATAAATAACAACCTACGATACTTCTTATTTATTATATAAACACACGTACACTTCTTTTACAAATTCGGTTAATTTTAAATGAAATTTCACGGTTAATAAAAAAAATCCTTTTTAATGAATTAGATTAATTTGTATAGAATTTGGCAGAAGAACTTATATTTGTTGACAATTTATATTTCCGATTTCTGTTGGGTTGGTTTGGATTTGAGTAAATTTACTTTTTTTATGCGCTGAATCACGTTCGGCATATCAGTTATATAAATAAATACTATACGAGTATATTTTATTTAATCAACAGATACGGGATAGTTTTTGCTATTTCAAGTACAAAATATATTCAAATAGTATCTTAGGAAGATGATTGTTATATAAATGCAAAAAGTGTAACAGCATTTTAATTCTTTTTTCAATTATGAACTTAAAACTAGAATTTGCATTACAAAGGAATTAATTTATATTACAAAAATTTAAAAAGACAGAATCTGTATAATATTAACCGCGAACCTGTATAATATTAGCCTCAATAACATTCACAAAGGAAGCTGAAGACTTTTCATGCTTTATAACTTGTTATTCCATACTTCGAACAATAAAATGCCCCGCCCAATCGGACAGTTAGGAACCTTTAATTTCGTATTGCAGTAATGCAGTATCTAAATCTAATTTAGCTCAGAAAGAATTTGCAGATTTCAGATAAAATTATAAATTTCTGTATTTAATTTAAATACCATATTACCATATAACTACATGATACATATACCATAAGTCAAAATTAAAGATAACTTGATAGTTGGACTTTATAGTCATATTAGAAGAAAATTCAATTTATTATTTCCAATAAAAAAATAAAATTGAAATTGAAGTCATTTTTGTTGACCAAAAATAAAAGTAACGAGAAAAAGTAGAATTGACCGTGCACTCTGCGATACGAATTTGTTGCCTTATGTGCGAGTTATGAATATCCCATAGCTGACTTTGGATCACACATAACAGCCCTAATAACGCACTTGTTTTCAAGAAATATTATAATTCCAATGATTTCTGAGATAATGCTAAATAACTTTTGCAGTTGTATCGCGGCTATTGGGAAAGCCAAACAGTTTCAACGCCTTTTCAATGCCACAGGTTTTATAGTTTCTGAGATATAGCCAAATAAATTTGAGAATTGAATCGCAGTTACTCGAACCGATACCACGATCTTAACAAATTTACTATGATAAACTATACTTGTGAAAATTTGGTTGACTAAACTCAATTAATTTTTGACTTATCGTTAGGACGTACGGACGGACAGACGATAAAAGACAAAGTTAAATCGACTCAGAATTCGACGCTGATTAAAACCATACACTTAAGTCTATGTCTCAGACCATTATTTCTTAGCTTTACAAACGATAAGTAAACATATGTTCGTACGGGTATAAAAATTTCAATTGTTGTAGAAATAAACCTTGTAAGTATGCAATTTATTCCAAATTATTTTCTCCTATAAATATTTTTTTTTCCCATTAAAATATTAAAAGCAAAATTGTATTAATTTTTATGAACCATTCATTTCTTATTATAACCCTTAAATCCAAAAACGGAAGGCTATTTAAAATTTCTATTGCCAAAAAATATATTAACTATCATTACTGGCTAAATGTATCAAGTACAGTGGGCGGCAAAAAGTTTAAATCTATAAAATTTTTTGTAAATAAATTTAAAAGGCTCCTTTATTGAAATTGTTATATTTTCTCATACACTGAAAACTCGTCGTTTTTTTATAAGTGATAAACTACAAATTTATTTAAGAAATTTGAGATCGTAAAAAACATCGGCCTCTTTTGCATATTTTGCGATTTTTGGGTTATGAAACATTTCTCACAATAGGGTTTAAAAACTCAACTAATTTATTATTAGATGAATACAATAATGAAATGTCTCTTTCCACAAAGCATTGTGATTACGTGGAAAATGGTACCTTTTTTAAATAAATTCCACTACAATTACCGTTATAACAATATGTTACTAAATTGATTTTATAATTGTCAAAATAGATCAGGTAATCCGTCAATAATCACTTGTTCAATTCCGTTAATATAGTATTTTTAACAAAACTGAACCCTTCAGAGCTCTCAAATCAGATAACCCTTAAATTTATTAAAGATTGCTAAGTCATTCAAATTCTACTCCGGGGTATAAAATACTGTGGAACATGAGTTTATTGTTTTTGTTTTTAAATGCAACTCACAAGCTTAGTTATATCCAATGTCTCTTAGTTATATCTTAGTGACTCCTTTAAAGGTGAAGCGTTTTTGGAGTAACACTGTATATTAAAAACAAATCGATCCTTTTTTAATATTATTTAATTTGATTCATTCCAATTTCTTATTCAAATAAAAATTTCAATTAATAAAACAATTATAAATAATGAAAAAGTGTTTTTGAAAACAAGTCACGCGAATTTTATTTTTATACAATTTTTGACTCACATATATACATACATACTTATATATCGTAATTAGTTTCCTTGGAATTAAAGATGATTGCAATTTACTTAATTTACAAATAAATTTCTTCATTATTTTTGTTTTGTAATTAATTAAGTCACTATTTCTATATTAATATTTAATTACTTATTATTGTAACAGGTATAATTTCAATGTGTTGGGTAGCTGGTACTATTGTTGGTTTAATGCCATTATTTGGTTTTCATACATATCAGGGAACCTGCTTTTTCGAGGAAACAATGGACTATAATTTTTTATTATTTCTATATTTTGCAACAATAATTACACCAGCATTTCTAATGTTATGTTTTTATGCACATATTTATCGTGTCATCGTCAAACAGGTACGCATAAATAATTTTTAATTAAAATTAATTATGATTTTTCTTAATAAGAAAAATTTAATTTTTTATTTATACTTATATTCATATAGATTCGTCAAATAGTTACAATGAATCCAATTAGTGGATCAAGAAGATCATCACGTTTATCAGTATATGATCAACAACAAGTTAAAACAATATCAAATAATACGTTCAATAATTGTAGAGGACATGGTGGTACAATGTTAAGAGTTCTTGGTGCAGCTCGAAAACGTGATGTTAAAGCCACACAAAATTTATCAATTATTGTGTTATTTTTTATGATTTGCTGGATACCATTATATACAATAAATTGTATAAGAGCATTTAATCGTGACATACCAATACCAGATCAATTAAAAATGTGTTGTATAATATTAACCCATTTAAATTCAGCTGTGAATCCAATTTTATATGCCTATCATTTGAAAGATTTCCGTGCAGCATTGAAAAATTTAATTTTGAAAATTTTTGGTATCGAAGTACAACAACAGCCTGATATTCATTATAAGTTATCAATAGCAAGTCAACATCGTTTACATTCGATTTCACGTGCATCATTTCGTAATCGAATATACGTTGGTAAGTCTTCCTTCCATCTTCACAACTAACGTATTTTTATTTTGCAATTATAATATTATTGTCTTATTTTAAATTCGATATTTCCCCGATCCAAATCTAACCCTAGCCTAGTTTTACTTTGATAGTTCGCCTGTGCCTCTGCTAACAAAAGTGTAATTAAAAATAGAGTAAGTTCACAAAGAAATTTTTGTTAATTAGAAGTTAATTTGATATCGTAAAAGTACTTCAGCGAACTGAAAGTGAAGTTTTGCAAATTTGATGAAAAATTCATTTATTTCTCCGAAACTATGTGCTCTTGGGCTTCCATAAAAACAACAAGACGAAGTGATTACGTATATTTTCCCCTTACTTATATGCTATGACATTTGCAACTACCACTGTTTATACTCATACGAACGTATAGGTTCGAAGGGTATATTTAAATTTGCCTTACGGTTTGTAAAGTTAAGAAATAATAATTTGAGATATAGGTTAAGTTTATATTTTTGATCAGCGTCGAACATCGATTCGATCTAACCATGTCTGTCCGTCTATCCGTCTTCCAATCCGGCGGTTTATTCGCCCGTCCGTCCGAATGATAAATCAAAAAAAAATTGAGCTAAGTTCACCAAATTTTTACAAATGATTTATAATAGTAAATGCCGGAACCCTATTTAAATTGGGGTTATTTATTGATAACTATTTAATGATACAATGCGGTACTGGTTTGCGTGGCTACCATAAAACTTGAAAAGTTATTTGGCTTTATATTAAAAACTGATCAACTTACAGTACTGCAATTTTCAAAAAACAAATATGGTAAAATGGCAGCTACATTCGTTGAAAGTTGTTGAGATGTCATAAGCGCTTGTTATAGCTGCCATAAAACTCCAAAAGATATTTAGCCATATCTCAGAAATTATTCAGAGTATGATTTTGAAAATTTGTGTAGCAAATATATTATTAGAACTGTTATGTTTGATAAAACTCGTTAAAACTTCTCGGCTGTTTCTGGTAGCTTCCAAACATTTGGTGATGTGGCCATCATTTCAGTAAAACTATTTTATATTGTATGAGTTTATATGGTAACTGTCATATATGTATAGAATAGCACTAGACAGAAAAATCAAAAGGGTGTATGAAACTGTATGTTAACTATCTCCGACATTTGAAATTATTTATTGCTACAGATATCACAGAGTTAACACGGTCAACTATATCCATTCTCGTTTTTAATTTATTTTATTAATGTTTCTCCCACATATATGCAACAAAATACGGATATAATAGGTTTTATTAGAAAATCTCTTGTTTTTTTACTCTTTGTTCCTTTCAAATCCGTAGTTAAGTTGTTATAATATGCTTTCCAGGAAATTGAACTACTAAATTTTGATTTTTATTTTTTTATAGTTCTTCCAAATTTCTTAAAAGTATTCGTAAATTATAGTTTAATCAAGAAGATGAAAATATTTTGTAATGCAGAAAATATTTATGCGAACGGTCATTCTAACAATTAAACTAAAAAATTAAACAGAATTGAAATAAATCGAAATTATAAAAAGCTGAAATAAATCTAAATCTTATTTTACTTGTATAACAGATTTAATTTTTATTTGTATAATTCTTTTTAATTTTTTTTTGCTTTTTTCGTGTACAGATTCACCTGTATGGCTGAAACAAAAGCAAATAGAAGAACAAAATAAAACTAATTTGACGATAACAAAAAGCTTAAATAGCGTTCATCAAACAGTGGCAGCAGTTGCCTCAGCGACAACTGATCGTGAAATGTGGAAAATTGTTGAAATTCCTAGTATTATAAATGAAGAAAGCTATAAACTTCATTCAGATTGTGAATTATCAAATAGCAAAAGTAAAAACTACATTTCATCTGATGACGATGATGATGATGACGATAGAGAACCTAGTCAAATATCGACATATGATAATAAAAATTTTTCAACAAGTGTTGATAATCTTTCTCACAAGTTAAAAAATCAAAAGATCACAATGGAACCAAGGAAATCAATAACATTAGCATTAATACGTCAACAATTGAAGTCCTCAAAATCAAATTACCCACCTCAAACGGCATTAGGTACAGAATTAAAACAATTAGATTTTCTTGGACCGTCTCTAAATAGTTATGGATCATTAAAAGCAAAACAAAAAGAAATTGAACAAAATTTTAAAACATCAAATGAAATCAAGAAAAGTTATTCTATATCAAGTAATTCTAGTAATAATTCATATACAAGTAGCAGTAGTGAAGATTTTATTAAGCATGAAAGTTATCGAAAACTCGATAGTAATCATTTGCCACCTATTTATCATATAAGTTTAGGTCCAACTAACACAACAACAACCGAAATTGTTGATATTGAAAATGTACCAAAATCATCAAAGTTTAATTCATTGAAATCAATGAAAAGATTATATAGTTCAAATGATGAACTCGATTCCTATAAAGCAAGAGATTTAACTAATACCAATAAAGATTTTAATTATAGACTATACAATAGTCAGCCTAGGAAAAAATTAAATCTATTAGGTTCTAATAAAATTAAAATGGATAATCAATTAGAAAATACAAAACATTATAGTTTATTTCAAATATGTGATTATTTTAAAGAAAAGGATGATGAAAATAAAGTTGAATTAAAATTTGGTAGAAAAAGAACACTTTCAAGTGAAAGCTAAAATGCTCCACAAACAAATAATATTTCCCAATATTGCTTTCATGATTTTATTGATAAACAAAAAAACTATTAACATTAATACGAGTATTTATTTTGGATTACTAAAAATTTCAATTCATATTTCTAATACCACTTCGTTGTCTTCAGTTAAATTCAAGATATTATACACTAAAATACTTAAAAATTTTTTTTTAAATTTCTGAAAGTTTTTAGTTGCATGGCTAGAATTGAAATATATATTTCATAAATTTAGGGTTGTTTTTTAATTTTAAGGACGATTGAGGGGTGGCAGAATATAGCTTTTCGAAACGAAAGTTTAATGTTAGCACGTAAATGTTTTCAACCAAAAAACGAAACGCAATAATTGTATAAAAATATTATTCTTTTTGTATAAAAATATTTTTCTTTTTATTTTAAATTTCATTATTTACCTTTAAACTTTTAAATATTGTTTTTAAAACTTTACAAATTTCTTGGCGATCACTCATCTGTTGTCGTAAAAATTATTTTGAAACGATTTTAAAAAAATACTAGAAATAATGCGAACCAAAAATATTCGAAACAAAATGAAAACAACGAAACCATTTAAAAAATGTTTGAAACAAAGGTATGTGCCACCATTTTTGGAAAAACAAGTTATTTGATGCTATCCAGAAATAAGAAGTGCTTTACATTCAATTTGGGCATATTTGTGTTACATTCAATACTGATGCTGCCTATTCCGATTATAGTAATTAGTAATCCATCATTGATAACAATAAGTAAATAATTCAAGCATTTTCTGATACTTTGACGTAAATTTTGCTAATTTCTAAAATTACATTAACATTAATTTTCTATTTTTTTCAAAAATCCTGCAAGAAATTATCATTTTGTGATTGTTCCATAAAAAGCACAATAAATTTTAAATGGAATTAGAAAAGTCTTATACGAATTACAGTACCATTCCTGACGTGTGTAGCATTTTAGCCTACCAAATCATAGAAAAATGCTAGAATTGACGTTTTAGTAAATTCAAAAAATGTTAAAATTGAAAAAAAAGAAAGTACCGATTTTTATTATACTCAATTGAATTATAAATTTTTAGAGTTATTAATTATGTACCTTAATTATAAGAATAGAATATAAAATAATATTGTTCCGTTTAAGGTTTCATAAAACATTTTAATTTATAATTGTTCGTTTGTAAATTTTAAATTATAACACCTTGTAAATATGTGTATTATAAAAATAAACCAAAATTTAATTTTATCTACTTAGTTTATTATAAGAAAATAAAACACTCTATTTTTATACATAGCTATATTAATCAAAAATATAATATTATATTTATAAATACAAAGGTACAATATTACTATCGTAAATATTTAAATAAAGTATAGAAAAAATTTATGAATATATACACGTATTACATATATATATTTTGTATGTATGTACATGTATTCATATATATACTTATATATATGAATGCCATGCTATAAAATTAATACCTTTTTTATTTTGGTAAAAATCTGTGATGTTTTAATTATAATTACCAAGTATTGTAAAATAATTTTATTTTATAAAATCTATATATAAATAAAATTATATTTTAATATTAAATATTTTAATTGTAATAAATTTGTTTTTAGTCCTAAGTATAAGAATTTAACGTGTCATATTACATATTAAATCTAGATAAAATAATAGTATGTATTAAAAAATGTGCTAAATAATATTATAAAAATAGTTTGAAAACATTTACGAATTCTTTAATTTACAATGAAATTATATAAAGATATTTCCGAATGTTTTAATTAAAAAGTAATAATTTTTTATTTCATATTCAATTAACGAGAATTATCACAATCAAGTGGGTCAATTTCTTGTATCCATCGTCTATAAAATGTTAAGAAAAAATTTAAAATATTGAGGAATGGAAACAGATGGAAAATTTTAAATTATATTTGCTCATGCTTATGCAAATATGTGAATGTATTGTAAAATAAAAATTACTGTTTTTAAAGCCAACAGAATTCAAAAACAAAAAAAAAAATTTAATTGTTGCTGCTTCTCTTTTTTGTTTGTTTTTATTTCATTTAATTTAATAAATTATATGAAAAAAATTACTACATATTCAATTTAGAACATCAGATAAAGAAGATTGGGTAAATAATGAGCTTTTATAAATTTTTACTCTTCATTCAAAGTTGAAATAGTTAATTTTCACTTTATTTTGAAATAGTTAATTGTTACGAAACAATTAACAGTTCTATGAGCGTAATTGATTTTATTTTGCCTTCCATCTTTTTTAACCCGAAATATTGTATACATATGTATGTATATATGTATGTATGTTCTTCTAAGATTTGTACAACGAAAAATATTGGTTTTATACTTTATATCAAAACTTCTCAATGCGTCTTCCATATAAATTCATCACTCTCATGTGCATTGTTATAGTTTAAAATGCTAGTATATAATCGATCAAGGTTACTAAATTTTTCAACACAACACGCAAAAGAAATAAGTTCCAAAATACTGATTATGAAAAAATAATAATGCAAATACATATGCACATACATAGGTAGAGCAATATGAAAGACATTAGACGCAAAATTGGTTTGTCATACAATCAATGTAATTTTTTTAGGTACATACAGCATCAATTTTAAAGACATAAAGAAATTAATCCCGATGCTTTGTATATTTGCCCTACAACTATTGACATAAATTCCTACACTTTAAATAATTAAGACACAAAAGATTCCAGAAGAGGAATGAGTTTCATACATAAAATGAATAAATAAAAAATATATGTATGTGTTTTTTGATGTTTTTGTAAATATATGTATAAGTAAATAAATATCGAATTATTCTAATTTCTGTTAATCAAAGAAAAATATTTATGTAAAATGGTTTATGATCAAAATAATAAAATTATAAAAACTACAGTGCTATTGCTTTTCTACAAACTTTTCTACAAATTTTCTGGTTTTAACTGTCTCTTTCTTAAAAAATGTATGTACGTATATATATACGTGTAGATATACCAAAACAAAACCTATTGTTCAAAAAGAACTTAACTCGTACAAGCTTCCAATAAAACGAAGTTACTCTTTTATTTTCAAAAGAAACTTAAAATCATTTTTAATTACTATTAACTTTCAATTTTATTAATTTTTTCTAATTCTATAACTCGAATTTCATTTCGCCCACTCTTATCTCTCCACCATCTTCCGAGTTTGTGTTCTTGGCCTAAAGCTGCTATCAAGTATTTACCATCATTAGTAAAAGATAGCGAGTTAACAAAGCCAGGTGCAGGAATTTCAAATAATTGTACAAGTTTTTTGCTAGTGTCCATTTTCCAAACGCGTATATATCCGTCACATGAGCCCGATGCTAGTAAATCTGTATTGAATACACAACTAATGGCTGATATCCAATTTGGTTCTAAATTGGATGCTGTACCATGTACTAAATTGGAAGTGTGTAATGGTTTTTTTTTCATTGTACTCCATAAACATAAAGATCTAAAATAAAATAAAATTATTCTTTCTATAAAAGATTATTCTTTTAAAAAAATATACCCATCAGTTCCACATGAAAAGAAGTTTTCGTCGTTAATATATTTGACGCTTTCTATACCCCCAATATGTCCATTATAAATCAATTGTGATTCTTCAGTTATTTTCCATATTCTCACTGTACAATCAGACCCACCTGATGTAATTGCTCTATCCCTAGAAAGCGCATCTATTCCAGTTATTGAACTCTGATGACCGAAACTGAAAATATTTAAAATTTTTACGTAACAAAGGCCTTCTTTTTTATAAACTTTATTTCTTACAGACTTTCCACATAAACCATTTCGTCAAGATTCCAAAGTTTAACACATCTGTCCTTACTTCCGGAATATAAGTCATGAGAATCCCTTTTAAACACCAAACAAGTTACCATGTCTCTATGACCTTTAAATGTTTTTAAATGTTTTAATTCATTTGGGCACCAAATTTGAATATCATTTCCTCCTTCCGCCACAGCCAAAAATTTCATATTTGTCGATATCGCCATCGCCATAATATGTGGTCTTCGTTTCTTACCACTAGAGTCTACTTCATTTACCGACTGACAATCAAAAGTTCCCAAAGCTTTAAAAGTCGTCAAATCCCATTTTACAACTACAGAAGTTTTACCACCGCTAAACATTATTGAATTATCATTCGAGGAGACTACTACAGTTAGCGGAAGCTTCTGGCGCTTATGTTTGAGAATTTTAATGGAATCCTTGTTATAACCTGTATAATTATCTGCTATCTTTTTCCGTAACCTTCCAATGCTATCAAGATACTCATCCTGCAATCTGCGTGAAACATGATCAGTTATATCCTCATCTTCCCTCCTACTTCTCTCCTCTTTTTCAATCTCTTCAAGATATTGCTTGGCCAAACGAAGTCTTTTTTCTTGAGGAGTTTCAGCAATTGCCTCTTCATTTCCATCCAAATCATCTTCTCCTTCATCACCAAACGCATCGTCACTTTCAATTTCCTCATCTTCAGCCTCCTTTTTCGTTTTAGTCTTAGTTTTAGGCTTTAAAGCTGTGTTATTCTGCAAATATTATACTAAGTTTAATCAAAAAAAAAGATATTATTCCCAAATCTTATATTACCTTTCTTTTCCTACCTTTCACCTTTGGTTCACTTTTCAAAAAGAATGAAGACATATTTTTAAATTTCAATTTTAAAAGCAAAATAATACTATCTATTTAAAATGCAACTTAAAGTTTACAATTTACATACATATCAACTTAACTACACGTGTATTTTGACAATTGAAAAGTCAAAAAAAAAATAAATAAAGCAATTGCTATAAAAGAGACAATAAGCGGCCGACAAAACAAAAATAAGTCAAAAACAAATAGGTCAAATTTTTTTTCCTTCAGCTTTTTTTATATTATTGTAATTAAAAACAAAAATCAGCTGATCAGACTTAAAACATATAGAAAATTTCAGTTCTCGCCATTTTTAATTTTTTCAGCTGTCAAAAAATTGGATGGGAAATAAGTCAAGATTCTATTTTTTTCATACTATTCAGTTCAATTAAATTCGGCTTTTACAAATCAAAGTCTCTTACGTTTCAAATCTCAATCGCTTCCAACTAAATCGTACAATTTTGCTTATACGAACATCGTAGCAGACGCTGAAGTAAATAAGTTAATATTTATCTGCTTTATTAGTTTTAAATGTTCAGAATACTCCCTCCTATTTTATCGAAAATGTTTCTTTTTTCCAAGGAAGAAATTTCTAAAATCTCGAAATCACAAAGTTTTTTATTTATAGGAATGCAACCCACATTACCTTTTAGTTTTAGTCTAGTTTGATTGCTTATTTTTTGCATTATTATTTTATATTGAACTGAGCTCACACGCATGATTCATATTATAATGTGCTTACACGAAAATCCAATAAAATTAAAAAAAAAAACTCAAACACAAAAATTATGTATTTACATAATTTAGTTTTAAATAGTTAATAAGTTTAAACTTATTTAAATAAATTTAAATAAGTTTTTTAAAACTACTTATAATATCTTACAAATTTTATTCGTACATAAATTTTTATGTGTATACAGAATTTATATTATTAATTTAAAAACGTTTTTTTGACGTTAAATGAACCGGAATAACTTAGAATGACAAAAAACTCCAAGCTTACTTGATATACTTGTTATAAAATACTATTATATAATAATTAAGTCAATAAAATTTACATAAACCTCTTTGAATATTTGTTCCCCCTTTCTTTCTTTCTCTTTTTTTTGTTTATTTTAAATTTAGTTTTTTCTATTATAATTCAATATTTCAAAAATTGGAAAATAAATCGATGCTTCAAATGAATCAAGTTTAACCATATGAAAAGCCGCTTTCGCTCGCCCTTGTACGTATTAAACAAAATCACTTGTTATTTTTTACACTTCATTTATACTTTTTACAATTGTGAATAGCTGGCAGCCTTAAAACAAATTTTTCCCATCCCTAATGTCATATATCCGACAATTTGTCAATTCATAAAAAAGAAAACAAAGAAAACATATGATACTATTAAATGAATTTGTGTAACGATAAGAAAAACTAATATTTTCTTGACTGTTTGAAAAAATATTAAAATTATATAAAAGATTTTATGTTTAATTTGAAATGGGGCAGTTAGAGGAAATAAGCGTTTTAAAAGGTCATAAAGGGATAGTTTGGGGTGCAAATTGGAATCCGAAAGGAGGTGCGTTTGCTTCGTGCGGGTGAGTTAAATGTATACAAATTACATATTATGTATAAAATATAAAATATCTTACCAAATATTTAGGGAAGATAAAACAATTAGAATTTGGTCTCGTAGTGGTTCTAAATGGTCAACAAAAACAATATTATCAGATGGTCACCAAAGAACCATAAGAGGTAAGTAGCTAAACAAAATCGAGACTTGCAATGTAGTAAACTTATATACGGTTTTTAATACAATGTAGACGTAGCATGGTCACCTTGTGGGCAATTTCTAGCTTCTGCCAGCTTTGATGCCACTACTGCTATTTGGAGTAAAACCTCTGGTAATAAATTTATCTAAAGTGGAAAATGAACCTTAATTACAAAAACTTATTCTTTAGGAGAATTTGAATGTAATGCGACATTAGAAGGACATGAAAATGAAGTTAAAAGTTGTGATTGGTCAAAATCAGGAAATTTATTAGCGACGTGTAGTCGAGATAAATCTGTTTGGGTGTGGGAAGTAGCTGGTGATGATGAATTTGAATGCGCTGCTGTACTTAATGCTCATACACAAGATGTAAAAAAAGTTAGATGGCATCCCCATATAGACATATTGGCTTCTGCAAGCTATGACAATACAATTAAAATGTTCAAAGAAAACCCAGCAGATAATGACTGGGAATGCATTGCAACATTAGCTTCACATACTAGCACTGTTTGGAGTATATCATTTGATAGTACGGGAAATCGATTAGCCTCTTGTAGCGATGATCAAACAGTTAAGATATGGCAGGCTTATCCACCTGGTAATGAGGAAAATATAGCAACACCTGATAATGAAACAGCATGGAAGTGTGTTTGTACAATTTCTGGTATACACACAAGAAGCGTATACGATATTAGTTGGTGTAAACTCACAGGTTAGTTAAATCAATTTACCTGATTTTAATATTTTTTAAATGTTATTCTCAATTCGTAGGGTTAATAGCAACTGCTTGTGGGGATGATGCTATTAGAATTATCAAAGAAGATGAAAATTCATCTAAAAATGAGCCAACTTTTAGCGTGGTTGCAACAGTTCATCACGCTCATGCTCAAGATGTAAATACCGTAACATGGGATCCAATCACTCCTGGACAATTACTTTCAACTAGCGATGATAGCTCTATAAAAATTTGGCGATATGTAGATTAAGACAAACAATATTTTTATTGTTTCACGTCTAATAATAACTTAGAGTTCATGCATAATAGTGACTCCAATTTCCTAAAGGAATAAAGTTTTTATACAATGTACAATATATATAATCCTATAATCGTAATGTTATTTTTAATTCGTGAACAACATAAAAACTAGTATGCTAAATTAACTAATAATTTATATTTCTCGCATCTACTCGTATTACTGATTTAACAAAGTAAGAATTTTCAACTTCATTCTCAGACCCAACTACATTATATTGCCTTCATTAATTAACGATGTTCGATATGATATAACAATGATGAGTTCCTAATTGTTTGTGAACAGAATATGAAATGCTTATATGTTAGCATGTATGTGCAACATCGTTTGTTTTTGCTTTATCTTTTCAACCTAGATAAATTTGACGTGAAAGTCAATTCTTATCACGTAAAAATTAAATGTAATTAGCTTTCCCGCCAAGCCTTTAACTTAAATTTGTTATATAATGAGCATATCATTAAGGTAAAAAAAATTAGTTTTATTTATTCTAGCTTTTTTAATAAACATTTAGGTTGAGTTTGACTGTTAAAATGCTAATCTAACTTGGCATTTGTTCAGCAGAGTTATGTACATATATCGAACATAGCAAATTTGTTGATTTTGCAGATTTGATTTATCGAACGTGTTTTATGTTAAGATCTAAGCTAATTAAGTTTTTTTAAATCTACTGTTTGAACAACATGAAGTTTTCGATTTAACCGATAAAATTCGAAAAACTTTCAGAGAACCAAAAAATGCATATATGTATTTATATCAATTTTTTTATAAATATTTTCATCAATTTTTGTTTTGTATAAATTTAATATTAAATATTAAATTTACTGTTACATTGTTAAGCTGTTTTTTACTGTCAAACTGTTAATTTTGTTAAGCTATATAATATTTTCTTTCCCAACTGTCTGCTCAAACTTAGAACTTTTATTTTTAGGAATTGCGCTATAATATACAAAATCAACATTTTACATCGTTACAAAAAAATATTAAAATTTATACGGTTATCAAATAAAGTGATAAAATAAAATTTTTAAATTTCATACTTTGATTTTATTGGAATTTATGCTTGCACATACATATTATAATATATGGTGGGTACATTTATATGTAAATAAATGTATGAAGGTTTTAAATTTGCTTATTCCTTAATACATTTATTCATTTATGTATAGTGTCAGTGAGAAGTGATCGATCTTTTTAATATATTTTTCAAAAGAAAATTGCTAAAAATTTTGGGTTTACTCCACCTTAACTAATTCTGAATTTCTCATCTTATAAAAAGCTACTGTTGGATTTTATATTGCATTCTTAATATAAAACAACATAATAAAATGTTAATTAAAATAATTTGAAATTTCGAATAAAAATATTAGTTACATAATATTGGACGATTTCAATTTTATTGTAATTTTATATAATTTAACACAAATTAAAATGTTTTGGACTAAACAGTGAATAACTATTTTAAAAGATTATAAAAATAACAAAATTAAAACTGTTTTTAGAATAGCAAATTATTATTTTTATTTCCCTTAAATTATGTATTTACGTAAAATATAAGATACCTACCAATTTAAAATATATTAAACATTTTATTTCGAACGTTATGCTGGAAAATCAAAATGGGATGTAAATTTTGTATTTCACATAATGCATAATTGAATATATTTTTAGCAATTTCGAAAAACAAAAATTAAACAAACTCTCTATGTTCTCTAGCAACATGGAAGTGAAGATTATGCGCATCTATTTGCTTAAAACAAAATATTAAATAAACTGTGAAGTGAAAAAAAATTAAGAAAACTAAAAGTGAAAAAAAAGGAAAAAAATTACAATACAAATATTAGATACACTGTTACACAGGTATAGAGCTCCATGTGTATACAGTACAAATATTACGTTCTTTATCCTTACTTTTCAACCAACCAAATTAATCGATCCTTTCGCGTCATAAGAATATTTCTACCACTAGTGCTAGGGGTTTTTGAAAACATATGTAGGCACATATTTAAATATAAACGGCAAATACATACAAAAAAATATAGAGAAAACATTTTCTACATGACTGCGCATTAGAGCAATTAAATTACTATTTGTATAGTCGCGGATATTATTTCATATATGCATATTGTATAAATAAATTCCATATATCCTAATTTTTCATATTATATTTTTTCGAAAATTAAAGAAAAAAAATTCCTGTCGATTAAAAGAATACTCAGTTTTAATTTAACTATCGGACTCATAATATCAAAATTTAAAATTCTATAAACGGTACGGTTCAATGAAGCGTTGAAAATTAAAATGCTGAACAATATTATAATTTTTTAAGTGTCCTTTACAAAAGGGCTTAAAAAAGAATAACTAAATTTAAAAACAAAAAACCAAAAAAAAAAAAAAATATAAAAAAAAAGTTTAAGTAATTTATAAATTTTTTTAATAAAATGATTGTTAATTCAAATATGGAGCAAACACATAGTGATCCTCCGCAACCTCCGCCAACATTATCGCAACAAACTTCTCAAGTATCCACTACCATATCGCAGTCAGTATGTAATGAGAATTTTTATTTAAAACGTAAACACGATGATTTGAATGATTCTTTGGATAACTGTAACTACATTCAACCAAAAAAACGACATATCCAGCAACATGAAGAACCACATGAATACACCGTCGCTGACGAAAATTATCAAAATTTAGCAAATTCACAATCACAAAATGATACAAGTAATTGCGATTTGCAATTCAGTTTAAATAATAATAATTTTATCAATTGTCATACAATTGAATTTTTAAGTTATGATAATAATTTACAACCAGTACCAACCTCTACGACAATATATGGTACAACAACAAATACAACAAACAATGAACATTTTGATTCAAGTCAATGGCATAATGCGGATTTATTAGAATTAGATCAGAGATATAATTCGGTTACGCACTGTTTTGAAAAAATCACTCATCCAAATGATCTTCACCGAAATGATGAAGTGATTTATCAACAACAACAACCACAACAACACCAAACACATCATCAACTTCAACAACAGCAGCAACAACCGAATCAGCATCATCAACAACAGGAGCAATTACAGCATATATCTCATCAACTAAATCAGCATGATAATATAAACCGACAATTACAATTGCAGCATCAGCACGATCAGGAACGGCAGCATAATTTAATTCCCAATTCAATTGCATTGCCTATAGATAATCAAATAAATCTTAATAATCAACAACAAAATATAGTGGAGAAGTCAGCATCAAAAAGTTCTGGTAAGATTAATTAACTGAAAGTTAATAAGACTGTTGAAGTTGTGTTCTATTAATTAAATAACTAAAAAACAGCCAATGACCCCAACTTAAGCGGCGTGTGATTGACAAAAAAAAACAGCATTACCATTCCTTCGAAATTGTAATAGCTGTTTTTTTGCTATAATAATGTGAAATTGTTTTTCAATTCTAACACAAGAAAATTGAAATTCAATTTACGAATTCGGTGCCATTGTACATTTCAAATACGCGAATCTTTTTATTGTCAAAAGCGGAGGTCGCGTCCATTTAGTTTAAGTACTTAAGATTTATAAACTTATTAAAATAAAAATGGGATGCAAAGATATTTTTTGCACTTAGAGTCCAAAAGTTCCACAAATTTTCAACTTTTCGTAAAAATTGTTAAGTTATATACCGTTTCTCTGAATTTAAATAGAATTATCTTTTGAACTTCTCTGCTTAAAGAATTTATCAACTATTTCTTGACTTTTAGTTGACATATTAAGAAATTTTCTTATTTTCGTAAAGCAAATTCCATCCTAAAAATATAAAATCTGTTATAAAATAAAAAAAATGCAATGAATAATTTCCTATGGACCATATTTTTTTTTATTATATTTATGTAGGTACCTCTTTTGTTTGACTGTCATATTTACCAAGAGCTACCTTCAATATTTAAATAAAAATTAATGGTTTTTAAACGTCAACTCCATTTCATTCTTATTAAACTTTAGCAGTCATTTTTATGAAATACTTTCATCAGTTTTTTTAGATTGGCTCTAATCACTTTTATTAATTACATCGTTATCATAATTTTGGTAAAAATATAAACACATACATACGTATGTATTTACATCGTTCGGGCCTATTGCTAAGATCGTGACGCCTTTTTTTTTTTGTGATTTTTAAACATATTGCTAGAAATCAGTGAGTTATTCACAAATTCCTTCTTTTTCTTTGCTCCACCATTTTTGTATAATAATTTAGAGACTCCCTACATAATTCTGCAGTTCTGTTATACGGTTTCTGAAACATTCATCAACATTTTAAAATGCTTTATCAAAAAACAAAACTTTCTTATCTAGTTGCAGTTTATCCTTTATATTTTATATAAGATATTTATATGGAAACCTAAATTACTTTCTGAAAGCGCCTTTTTTTACACTTAGACTTTTAGAAACAATTTTAACTAAGACTTTTATATAGTTCTTTACGCACCACATGAAGTGCGTATATATACATACATATGTATGTATGTGGTTTTTATCTATTTAAGATTGTACCAAAGACCCAATTAAATACAAATAGGTATACTAACTAAAATTTTTTATTCGACCATTAGCAATTTGACATGCATAGAGGATTGCAATAATATCGTAAAGTTTAAAATATTTCTTTTTTTATTCAATATTTGCAATTACATTATTGCAGTTTTTTGTTATTAAACCCATTGATAAATAAACACTGAAATATTAATATTCGAATCAATTTTACATAGTTTAAAATACATTGTTTTTAAAGAATTGGATAGCCTTCAAACAGCCGTTTTACAAACAATTTATTACAAAAGTATTCGGAGTGTGTTATATCGTCTGGTTAATTACGATATAATTAATAACGTCGCTATACCTCAAGAGAAGTCGTAGAGTTTTTAAAAAATTTAGAATAACTTTACCTTACAAATGCTTAAAGAACTTTTAAAATTTACCCAGTCTTCTGGAACACAGGGAAAACAAAAACATAAAACCTTTTTCTGTTTTTCTAACTGATATCCAAATTTACTTAAATAATGCTTTATAAAATTAAATAAATGCAGAGAAATTTTATTAACAGATTGCAGTAATAATTCTTGCAATTCGCATATTATTGCATTATACCGTAAATGGAATCAAACTATGGGACAATTAAACATTCACTTCTTTTTATTGAATTTTTTATTCACATCATGTATCAAAGGGCATCGTGAAAAATTCGAAAAGATAGCTCATTATTTCACAATAGGAATCAGAAATCTTCGGTTGAGTTACATACATACATACATGTATCTATGTAGGTATGTAATTTAATACTATATTAAATTCAAACTAATTACCTTATTTTTACTCTATTCATACAACTGTTTTCAAATAATATTCAAAAATAATTAAGTGCAATAAAATCGAATTGAGAAATTTAAGTGAACGCGCAGCATATGTAGATCGGAACTGTCATATTACTAAATGTCTATAGCAAAGTATATAAGTTCAATTGAACATTGCAATAATCCTTGTTGATTGAGTTTACATGGATCTCAGGATAAATGTAAAACAATATTAAAACGAGAAAAAAAATAGAGTTGACCTTGTCAACTCTGTGATACCCGTACGAATTTGTTATCCTATGTGCGAATAACTAATGTGCCATAACTAACTAAGGGGCAGACTATGACTTTAAGTTGCCGTATTACCATATTAATTTATGCAAAATTTCAGTACTATGTGTTTTTCAAAATACTGTGTGTGTCAAATTACTATTGAAGTTGTATGACAGCTACCAGAAAGAGCCAAGAAATTTTAGCGAATTTTATCAAGCACATCGGCCCTACTAATATATTCACTTGTGTGAAATCTCAATATCACAGCTTTTATAGTTTCTGAGATATAGCCAAATAACTTTTGAAGTTGTATGGCAGGTACCAGAAGGAGTCAAGTAATTTCAACGATTTTTATGAGACACATTGGCCCTACTAATATATTCGTTTGTGTGAAATTTCAATACCATAGCTTTAATAGTTTCTGAAATATAGCCAAATAACTTTTGAAGTTGTATGGCAGGTACCAGAAGGAGTCAAGTAATTTCAACGATTTTTATGAGACACATTGGCCCTACTAATATATTCGTTTGTGTGAAATTTCAATACCACAACTTTTATAGTTTCTGAGATATAGCCAAATGAATTTTGAAGTTGTATGGCAGGTACCAGAAGGAGTCAAGTAATTTCAACGATTTTTATAAGACACATTGGCCCTACTAATATATTCGTTTGTGTGAAATTTCAATACCACAACTTTTATAGTTTCTGAGATATAGCCAAATGAATTTTGAAGTTGTATGGCAGCTACCCGAACCGGTACCCTAATCATGTCCAATTTAAATAGAGTTCTGGCACTTACTACAATAAATCATTTGTGAAAATTTGGTGAACTTAGCTCAATTAGCTTTTGAGTTATCGTTCGGACGGACGGACGGACGGACGGACAGACAAAGCTAAATCAACTCAGAATTTGACGCTGATCAAAAACATACACTTGAGTCTATATCTAACACCGTTATTTCTTAGCGTTACAAACGGTAAGGCAAATTTAATATACCCTTCGAACATACGTTCGTACGGGTATAATAAACTCATATTGGTTATTACATAGAACTTATATTAGTATTAATTCGTCTTGTTGTAAATTTTATAAAAACGATAAATTTGTGTGGGTAAACAAAATGGTGGATTTTGCAGTACATACTCAAATTATTATTAATTAATTTGGAAATTTCTTCATACAACTGCATAACAGATAGATGACGCAGTCTAAGGAACGAGTTAAATACAGAAAAATTATAAAATATTTCTCCGCGAACTGGACTCGAACCATTGACCTACCGGTTTCTAGGTGGACGCTCTACCAACTGAGTTATAGAGGTATGAAGAAAGCCGTCTAGCAAGAGGAGAAAAAATTTTTAATTCTTTTGCCTATAATTAAGTGTAATCGGCACATTACTTATTAATTAAACAACTGGACGTTGTATTAGAAATTCAACTCAAATTAATATTATTAAATTAGAAAATATAAAAAAGATGAAGTTCATTATGTGTTTTAAAAAAGACCTGTAGGTTTCATTTGCTACAATTCCTAAATGTAGAATTTTTAAAAATTTAAAATTGGGATATTTATGTCTAAGCGATAAAATGCAAAAAGATGAAATCACTACAGTTAAAATATATTGACATTAGCGCCTAAGTTCATTTTTGTTTAGCAAAATAGGATTAACAATAGATGTTAAAATTTTGCATGAAAAATTTATAAGAACAAAAACTTTAGCAAAACTGCAAGTTTTTTATTAAGTACTTATTGTCATTTTGTCAAATTTCGAGACGAGTCTAGTATGTACTGAAATGTGATTCCATTCTATCGAAACGTTTCGAATCGTTTACGCTTATGTCAAAATTATTTTTTGATACTCAAAATACTACTTTCGTTAAATTGATTCAGAGAATTATAAAAAGAACAGAACCATACCTTCCATATCTAAACATACATATATATAAGTGCATACAAATGTAAGTAAGATACAAAGTACCCCACAACACCACAAAAGATGTTAGCCACTTATTAAAAAACTTGATTAAATTTATTGTCTTTAATTCGAACACATTTTGTTAAATATTATTCTGGTTTTCTACTTTTATTACCCATTTTTATTTTTCTAACTTAACTAATTTTTTTAACATTATTCATTAAAATATAATTATTTTTTTTACTATTAAGTTTTTTAACTTACCTCTCAATCTGCTCTTGGCAAAGAACATTTTAGTCTGGAACCTTCAGTAAATTTAAACGCCATGTATTAAAAAATTCAAACTGCATTAAAATGCAGTAATACACTATAATTACACAATTTAGTAATTATATACAACCAGTAAGCTGGATTTTACATTAATACCGTGTTACTGAAAATCAAGTCAGGGATGCTGTAAAACCTACATGGCAAAACATTGGCTCGCGTGCCAGACTTAGCTCGCATGGAATTGAACATTTTCATATTTTATTTATTCAAAAATTTTTAAGGAAAAGAATTTGACAATTTAAAAATTTTTTTATGTAGAAATTTTTGAAAAGAATTGTTTTATTTCGTTTATCCTAAAGCCTAAATTTTAACAATAATGCAAGTGTTGTGTAGTAATACAGCATTATTTTAAGCTTCGTACCAAATTCAATTATGTTTTCCTTTTTATACCCTGCACCTTCGTGAAGGGTATATTCATTTTGGTATGGAGTTTGTAACCACTTGAAGGAGTTGTCTTCGGTATGGACATTGTGTATATTCTTGCTCAGCGTAAAATTCTGATTTAGACATGTTCGTCCATCCGGCCGACCGTCCGATTGCACAATAACTCAAAAACGAATAATGCAATCGACACCAAACTTTTACAAGTTGTTTCTTTTATGCCAACGACAGCTGCTATTGTAATTGGACCAATTTGGACAGCGGGTTCGGGTAGCTGTCAACAACTCAAACGGATTTTTTTAAATATTTCAAAAACTAATAGAGATATTATTATCAAATTTTGTAAAGATGTGTCGAATTATGTTCTACATATTCTGAAAATTTTAATGGAATGAAGCCGCAACACAACTACGAAAGTTAACTTTAAATATTTGGTAAAATAATAAAGCTAGATTCATGAGACTCGGCAATCGTGTGTCAAATTTCAGATCAGATATAATCCTGAAGTTTTGAACAACTCCAAAAGAAAGTTTTAAATATTTGGAAAAATATTAAAGCTAGACACATGAAATTTGGCAGCCTTGTGTCAACTTATAGGTCAGACATAGTATCCGGGGAGCCTCCAATCAGGGGTTTAACAGCCAATTTTAATTTTTTCATAAAAAAACACTTTTTAAACTCAGATTGTCAAAGCGCAGGGTATTATTCTGTCCGTTTTACTTGTTTACTTGGTAATTACTTACATTTTGTAAAATTGAACTGATATCATTTTTTTATTGAAATAAAAATTATTTGGTATTTACGTACATACATACATACGTACATTATATAGCTAAATTTTTGAAATTGTTGTGCAAAGTTATTAATTCCCTAATAAAAACTTCTCGGCACGTTTGCATAACAAAATATATAATTTTTAAAAATTTGGGACGCAGGTCTCACAATTCTTGCCACCGATGGTATAAAACAATATACACACATACATTAGGTCTGTCTGGTATAAAAAAGTCTTTAAAAAACTTAAACTTGAAACGACTTTATAAAGTTTTTGTACGTAAAGCGTCTGCATAATGACGTCAGCATTTTCTCATTGTTTAAAGTTTTTCAATCAAAATTTAGTATAACTGCATTTTATGTCAGAAGGTTTTATTTTTCAAAAAATTTTTAATTTTTTTTCAATTGTTACACTTTCTTTGAAAATTCAAAAATTTTATGAATCGAATTTATTTTTTAAATTTTTTCTAAAATAGATGGCTCAGAAATTTACATACATATGTATGTATTTAGTTAAAATATGTACATATGTATGTAAGTCATTTTAAACACGATTTCTTACACAAAAATTAGTGTTAGCTTAAACCAGTCAATTTTCAAAATTATCAACCAAGGTTGAAAAAATGTTTTTTGGTTTGTTATTATTTTTAAAATTATTTTTTAATATTTGATGAATTTTTCCCTTTTTCTCATATTCTAGAAACTGAAGCTGATTTTGAAGACAAAAATTTATCATGGTTATTCAATTTTCGATTAGATGAATTACCGCATTTATCACCAGATGTTCAAAATAATCCAAAAGCTGTAGCATCTTCATTAACAAACCCAATTAATGTAAGCCAACCAAATAAACCAATAAATAATAATAAAGCCATACAATCGAAAACTGGGAAAAAAGTTGATGAATTAATTAAAGAGTTGACAGCAGAAATAACTGAAGATGGCGATATGATTATTGGTGAAAACATTATTCTCGAGAATTCTCCATCACCTCCTAAAGGGTATGTAAATTAAACAAAAATTTAATACTTACAAGTACATATAATTTATAATGCATACAGGTCAATTTTAATTTTAAATTTTACATCTTATGATAATGAACTTGTTATGAACTTTATTTAAGAAGAACAAGCATCGATTTAATTAACACATATGCAGCTGTAGACAAGTAATTCAATGAAATATTATGCACGTTTATAAGTAATTATGATGCAAGAAAGAATAATTTATAAAACGTATATAATTATGTATGTATTTACATAACAGCTTCAATATAATTTGCATTTGAATTAATTTTAATAAGCTTAGTATTTGCAATATTTGAAACAGCTGTTGAAAATGCAGTTCAAACCGAATTTTAATCAAATTAATATTTTATTTCTTAATACTTACTTATATTTTAATAGCTGTTGCTTAAATAAAATTTAAGCAAATAGAGACGTGCACTCAATTAACCAATTTTATGTTATCTTTAATCATGTAAAATTTGCACAAACAGATATTTTCTCATTACGAAATAAATATTGTAAGCGTCGAATTCATAATTACACCAAAACTATTTGAAATAATCGCGATTTATTTTTCCCAACAGACTTAAATTCACCTGTTCTAACATCAATTGACAATAAAAATATTATAAATGTGTTTACAATGGGAAAAATTGAACTTATTATCTGTGACTACACGACGATTTTTGTCTGAATGATTGACATACATACGTTTCATTTCACTTTGCCTTCAAACACAAATTCAGGATTTTTTACAAAATTCATTCACACATCAAATACTTATAATAATATTTATCGATAAAATTAAATAAAAAAAATCTGATGTGATCAGCACATAACTGACCGTATTGTGTATTGTCTAGTTAAATGAAAGTGTTACAGAATATTATAAAAATGTTTGTTAAATACTTCTTTCGAATTTTTAGGACATTAGTAAGCTTATAGTTAACGTACCTAGAAAAATGTAAATTTTGCTCTTAGTAGAGTTTCGCTTTGTGCTACCCGAATTCCCTGAAATGCTCGCCAGTTAGTTTCGGTAATAACCAGAACCCAAATATCAAATTTCAAGAAATTCTATCAATTCATTCCGTAGATATGGTGAAAAATGAAAAATCGGCCCGCAGATCAGTTTTCGACCCCTGATCTTTCCAAAAAATTTACATGTTCATTGTTTTAATACGAGGAATTCAAATATTAAATTTCAATGAAATCGGTTGATTATTTCTCTTTATATACACAAAAATGTATATTTGGCCCGGTTTAAACGACTAGTTGCCGATGCCTGATTTCTTCCAAAATATAGGTATTTTCGCGGACGGTCGAGCTGAGCTTATATATAAAATTTCAAGTAAATCGGTTGAATATTTTCTTCAAAATGTTCAAAAATGTAAAACAGGCCCGCTAAAAAGTGCAGTTCCCGAGGCCTGATATATACCAAAAGTTGATCAATCCGTGCCATGGTGGAAATAAACTTACATATAAAATTTCATCAAAATCGGTTCAGCCGAACTTAAGATACACGCGTGCACACACAGACCGACAGACCGACAGGTTGCTAAAAATAGTTAATTTACACTTCCCTACTATGGAGAAGTACGTTCCCACCGAAAACTCGATATGCAAAATTTGTTGCCATCACATAACCTACCTATTGCTTACACAATACGGTCAGTAATGAAGGTGCCTTTTATAAATTCGATCGAGTAATTTGACGCCATTTCATTTACATATGTTTAAACAATTTGACTTTGAAAATCACAGATTTTTTTTTGATCGCCAAACTTTGAATTATTTGAAAGAATTAGACTTTATTATACTTTCAAACTATTTTTTGAGTTTTTCAATACACTCATGCAGCCGCAAATTATATTATGATCTAGAATTTTACTATCTAGCAAGTTTTTAGAAGTTCAAATTTTTCGAATTATTTGAACATTCATTTACAATATCGACGCTTGATGTCACAACAATTCACTTCTCTTCAAAAACTTGAATAACTCAATTTAAAAAAAATTCAAATTTTTAAAAAGTTTTTATAAATTAAAATTATTATCAGTGAAGTATGTAGTTGATTAAACAACAAAACTATTGGCGTCACTTGGGTTGTTCAGCAGTAAAATTCTAAAAACAAAACTCAGTTATTAATAAAACAAAATAGATTTGATCAATTTGCCCTGTTTTTTATTCATAAGCAGGTAAACTTGTATACAAACACACGACAAAACAGTAACTTATTTTCACACCTGGGAAAAAAGGGCTTTCTGGCTTATTTTTGTTTTCAAACTTCTGCAAAGCTTTAATTCTAGCAAATAATTGAGAAAATAAGAGTTTTTTAAAATTTTTTGTATTTACGCTTTTTTTGTTGTTACTGTAAAGGACTGATAATCTCTACCCTAAATCATAAAGTATTTATTAATATAGATCATTTGCCCAAACCTGTATCAATTTCCGTTTCTCAAAATTGTCCTTTTTGTTAGGTATTACAATCATAAATCATAATTAAAAATAAAAGCAAATAACCACAAAATCGATTTTATCAATTATATTTACAGTCCGAAAAAACCGCCATTCACATATACCGAATTAATTGAATATGCTCTAGAGGAGAGAGGTGAATTGACTGTATCTGGAATTTATCAATGGATATCGTAAGTAAATATAAATTCAAATACTATGTATATAAACGCAAAAACATTCATTATATTTAAAAAAAAATATAAACATTTTCTAATGTTAAAACTTTTTAACATCAATTTAGAACTATTTAACAAGGAAATGAAAATTCTATTACGAAAATTTGGATTACTTTTTTTTCAGGATGTAAATTATTTCCTAATCCTTTAATTTATTATTATAAATATTGTAAATACTTGTAAAAGTAGGTGATAAAATTGAAAGTATTTTGTATGTTGCATACTTTTTTTTATTTTAAACCATTTTTTTCTATTTGCATTCATTTGCATATTATTTTGTATATATAAGAGTGTATAACACACTCTCACTCTATATAGTTTACCAATGTGATTACCTACATATGCTTTGATACTATTCAAGAATCTTATAAGAACCATGAAAATGTATGGCTGTTATTCGCACATGTTCATACATATGTGCACATGGATTAGTTACCAAAAGTACATTATGTATGCATAGATGTTTTACTCTAATATACAAAGTTTTACAACTTTATAGCATTTTTTTTTTAAAGAATTAAAAGAATTTCTGTCTGTCTCTTGGAGATGTTGTTTGATAACAAGTATAGAGGTAAAAAAATAATAACAATAAAATGAAATATATAATAACAATAATAAAAAAAATTGCATACATGTTGATATTTGTTTACAAAAATTTGTTTGATTCTTGTATCCTTTTTAAATTAAATCGCGATAAAAAATCAAAAAAAAAAAATAAACAAGAAATACGTGTACGTGTAAAAGGATTCCTTAACCTTAAGAACGTTATTTTTTTTCATATATCTTTTTCGACTTTAATAAACATTATTCAATAAATTGAATATAATTTCCTAGTATTTTAATATTGTGTTACGTAGTTAGTTAGAACTTTATTTTCTTTTATGTTTTAGAATTTCTTCAAAAAAAAAAAAAATAAACATAAAACAAATTAATACAAAAATATTGCATATTTTTAGGGGAATTATGTTGGAAAATCCCATTATACGCTTATATATGTGCACATTTGTATACAAAATATTCAATACATTTAAAGTAAACACAATACATACGAAATTAAAATTGAAAATGCAATGGTATTAGAAAAAAAATATCAATAATTTGTACCTGGCACAAAATTCCCGCTATATTACTGTTTTTTTTTTGTGTATTATATTTTGTTTCGTGATTTTTCCTCATTTTCTCAGTTTTTTTATGCTTACATATTTTTTTTCGGCCTCAGAAATGAACCTCTATATCTTTCTTTCTAAGAATTTTGAAGATTTATTAAGTTTTCTTTCTAATAAAAGTTAAGTAATGTATGTATATGTGTTATAATTAAAGTATAATTTATATTTATAAAAAAAAATTACCACTACTCTCTAGAAATTTCATTTACACACATAGATTTTTTCGTATACATACATACAAGCAAAATTTAATGTGAATGAATATGTAACTTGAATTCGTAATCTAAATACGAAATTAACGGAGTTTTTTAATTGAAAATTTTGAAAATAATTGAAATAATTGAATGCAAAATATTTTAAAATGAATTTTGATATCAAATTAATGGTACTCAATCGGAATTGCCATGAAAAAATTACAATTGCCTTACATTACGTATATTGTCATACTTAGATATTGTCATTTTTTAAATTGTCCTTCGCTTAAAATATACATATATGGAGATTTAAATATAGCCTATATACGGAACTTAAATTACACATCCATTCATAAAGTGCAATTTTGGTTCCGCTCACAAAAATCGGCAAAGCATTGTAGTAAAAAAAAAAAACAGCCATTTCCTAATAAAAAACCCACTTAAAAATACATTTCGCTGGCTTCCAAAGTCGTATGCTTTAACACCTCTCCATTCATATAATTTTGTTATTAGAAATTTTACGGAGAAATTGCAAATATTATAGCAGTGAATATTATAGCAATTCGATTTGAGAGAAAATCGGCAATCTTATTTTACATACTATTAACAATTTTCTATAGATTGTTATAGAAGTTAGACTTATTCAAAAATTCAGAAACAAAAACATATATAAGTAAGCATCATAGAAATCATTGTGGCCTTTGCTTCATAACTAGCATATCCATTCAGTACATTATGTCAATTGCAGGTCCAATTTTCGTTTTACTTAATATTGCTAAACATGATTTGAAAATGTGAAATTTAAGCATCATATAATCTCAATTTGCTTGGTGCCATATTTTTGAAGATATTTTTCTGATTCTTATAAAAATATTTAATTGATTCAAATTTTTAAGAATCAACTAAATATTTTTAAAATCCATTAAAAATTTCAGTATCTTAAAATTAAATAGAAGTATACTGTATGTTATTTACTGTTTTTGACAATGTCAAAATGATTCTTTTATAAGATAAGTCATTATAATTCTTTTTATAAGAATATTGAACCCCTATTTTCAAAACAGGCTGGCCAGTTAAAAAATTACATATTAAGAATTTAATTTTTAAATTAAATTCTGAATATGTAATTGCCAGCGTAATTGAGATGAGAAACACTTGTTTTAGAAAATTCCCAAAAACCCACATGAATTTAACTAGCGACATCTGTTTTTTATTTTTTGTTTTTTTTTTTCTTTTCCATATTTGAAATATTAAAACATTACTAATAAATTTTATTTATTTTATTTCAAATTTTCTTTCCTCAATTGAAAATATAAGTTGCGTGCAATATACCTGTAAAACAATGCTAAATTCTTAAATATATTTAATATACAAGTATAATTTTCGTATAACCTAATTCAATATTTACCTGTTCATTGTTTTTATTAACTTCAAGATTATTATTTTCATTTCATCATTATACGCCATAAACCACCGCATACAAATATTGATGGGGTTGCAAATGTTCACCCTTATAAGAATATAAAAAAAATAAGGAAATTTTCTGTATGTTCCTATATTCATTATTATTATAATTTACAAATTGCCTAGTTTAACTTTACTGCTACGATTAATTGCTTTGTCGTCCTGTTCAAACTGAATAGGAAAAAAAAATTAAATTTACATATTTGTATAGATATATTCCAAAAATCATTTGCCACGTGACGACCTTTAAATGCACCTTTTACATGGTTCATTGCGTTTTCGTATACAATCAAAAGGATAATATTACTTTGTGCATGTTTGATTGTGTGTGTGTATTCAATTTTTTATGCTTTATAGTTTTTTATGCTATATCATTTGTTCTTTCCTTTTTTCTTGTTTTTATAACTATTCTTTCTTTTCATTTCGGATATCGACTTGACACCGTGTGAATTTCTATACCTGCCTTCATGATAATTTCTAATTTATAATGAATATGATTAAAACCTGATGGTGATTGGTCAGTGAAGGATAACGATTAATGTAATTGTGTAATATAAAATTTTTCTTTAAAGTAGAATATAGAAGAAAACAAATTTCCTTCCACTGATGATGGAAAATATGGGTTGCCATTTCCATCTTAATGAAAATTTTTTTTATATCCTTTGCGAGAAATTATTAATACTCGTACTAATAATCTTAAATAATTAATCTAAAGAAAAAACATCGGTAGGCTAGTTACCTACCTAGTTAAAACTCTATGACTCAATGAAACTAGATATGATACCATGCACTAACCCTATGCTCGTCACTTGGATTGAAAAAATGAAAAAAAAAACAAGAAATTAAGGGCCCGATCGTCTACATCTTGCGAATTTCGACAATTGAGAAGTAAATGAGTTACAATTATATATTTGTAAAATACAATTTTCGAGTGAAAAGCATTATTCGGTATTGCGTACCTCGTTTGTTTCTTTATTTTTGAAAGTGAGACGTTCAGTCGATAATTTGAGAAAAATTGCAAAAATCCAACTAAAAAAGTGAGTAATCTTTTTGGATCAAAGAAATATTCCTTAGAAAAACGAAAAATTGTGATTGGAAAGTGAATAAAAAGCGAGTAAAAAAGGCGAGATACACAATTAGGCTGCAAGTATACAAAAAATACAAAGTAAATAAATTCAAAATAACTAAACGGTGCCGAATATTAAAACAAATCATTTGAGTCAATAAACAATTTTACTTAAACAATACAATAAACCTAATTAGATATTATTAATCTATTCAACATGAGCTTTAATTTTACTAAAGAATGGAAAATTAAATCCCAGTTTATTTGTTAATAGTTTTAATTTCTTAAAATACAATGAAAAATATATTTTAGCATTCTGACAGGGACTCGTAAAATCTAATGCTCATTTAACGTAATATTCCTATTTTATTATACAATCACACCCTTAAGTAATTTTTCAAAGCTAAACAAGTAAAAACTTTTCAGTACCCTGCACCTTTAATTGTTATACAGCAATTACTCGAACCTGTGAAATCATTCTATAGAAACTTCACGGATATGTCTGATCTATAATTGGAGACACGACTGCAAAGTTTCATGAAACTGACTTTATCACTTTTCGAAAAATTTAAATTAGCTTTTGGAGTTGTATGTCAGCCACCGGAACCGGTGCAGTCATCCCAATAACATTTTTGTAGAGCATAATGTAGAATGTGATTGGAAACACGTATACAGAATTTCATATTTGTACCTTTATTAATTTTTGAAATATTTTAAATAAACTCTTTCAGTTGTATGGCATTTATTATTATATGAAAGTTTCGTATTCGTACGGACGGATGGACGGAGATGTCCAAATCAATGCAAAATTTTACGCTAAGCAAGAATATGTATACATGTCCATGCTAATGACTTCTTCAAGTGGTTCCCTACCAAAATGAATGTACTCTTCACGAAGGTGCAGGACAAGATATAAAAAATATGTAAAATGTTTTGCCGTTAATTCGTATGCTTTAATAAAGCGTCTTTATTAAATGTTATGTCGTAGAAAATTAGAGAAATTTTCCCAAGTTTTAAACCGTTAACAAGCGTCTTTAGAATTTTTTAATTTTAATTTTAATTGCA